GTTACTTTTTGGGAGAAGTAACTAGTAACTATAACTAATTACTTTTTAAAAGTAACGTGCCCAACACTGCTAGAAACTGCTTGGCTGCATTGAGTGTAGATTGCTTTGGCTGGAGTTCACCAAAAGGTCGACACATTTGCAGTTGCAATTTTTTTTGCATAAATTCAGTATAAGGAATTCAATGTGTAAAAAAAAAAAAAAAAAATCAGTGTTTAATATTCGGTGTGCATAAAAAAAAGCAGATTCCAATGAGACTGTTTTTCTTCCATAATTTTTAACATTTTCAGAAATGAATACAGAAATGGTTGAGATGAATCACGGTGCAGTTTAGTCTATGGTTTCTTTATATCAAATCACAAAAAATACAGAAATATTTAACAATATTGTAATTTACTGAGATTCACTTGTTTAGCTATCCCACATTTACTTAGGGTTATTTTCATTTGGGAAAACCAGGACACCTTGGAGCGGGGGGGATCTCTGTTCCCATGCATAGAGATGTCTGTGGCATGCACTCACTTAACATAGACCTACGTAATCCTACAATAACATGATATTTACAGTAGATTTATAAGAAAAAATGCTTTTCAGTAAAAGTTAACAGCAATAACTAAAATAACAAACGATAATTTTATTCAAAATGTATTTTTTTAAAATGCTTACCAATTCCTGTAATGAATGAATGGCACAATGAAAGAAATGATGTCTCATCTAAACATCCCTCACTTAACAATAAAAGTTAACAATAACTCTCAACTCCCAATAACAGATGATACTCGGCCTCAGCAATGAATGAAATAATGTCTGTTCTGTTGGATATTGGAAAAAATAAATTAACAAATGAGCTAATTAACAAAAAATACCTCTTGTGTAGCAAAAATTATTCAAAATGTACCAAAAACGAACAAACATATCAATAGACTATATTTACTTTAGGAGTCCAGGTGGCTTTTCAGATTCCTTCCACCTCCATTGGACACCGAGACATATGTGCACAAGGCCTCCCGTTTGTCTCGACCCGCTCTGAAAGCGGGGAAACTCTTTTGTAAATCGTCGGTAAACATACATTTGCGCTTTTGCATGTTGTTGGTGTACTGACAGCCACGCTATCTATATTCTGATTAAAGGAATAGTACACCCAAAACATGATTAGCCTTCATTTTCTACTCACCCCCATGCTGAACAACACTCTGGAGTACTTTTTCGATATCTCAAATGCATCTGGAGATCTGGGAGGCTTCTTGCTGTCTGCTGACATTCAAATAATGGAGGTCTATGGCGCCCGA